TGATTTAAAGTAAGCATCAAGTTCCATGCATTTTATTTAGGAGTGGGAATTATGTCGTGCTTGTACTGTGTTATTTATCAAGTTCGATGCATCCCTTTCGGTTTTGTTTCAAACTTAACCAAAACAACATACTGAAACTAAATTTTAATTTTTATCTAATGCAATAGCACAAAATGATGTGAGGGCAAGTAAGTAATTCATTGTTCCAAAAAAGACCTTCAAACAGAAGAGACAACAGACTTCCTCAACTTGAATCAGTGAAAAAAATTGGGCACCTGAAGAATTGTAAAAATATGGAAGGGTAATTTAGAGACAATATTTAAGGCCAACTATGTATGTGTTCAATATCTCATTCCAGTATAGAAAGTGAGCACTAAAAAAAATGTTAGGAACACTAATAAATATACCAACAAACATAAAACTGTTGCAAAAATCATCTTTCTGCGACAAAATTACCAACCCGTCGTGAAAATTTTAAAAATAAAAAACGTGGTCAAGTCTCCTCTCAGTAAACTTGAGCACTACACTACTACAAATTGAAGGGAAATTTTTGTGCCAAATTTACTTACCATCTAACATAACACTTTACATGTCATGGAGCATAGGGTCAACTGCACTAATGCAGTGATAACACATCAGATGGTAAGCAAATTTGGTACAAATATTTGGTCATATTACCCGTGCTTAAAAATCTCTCTTCGGTACAACAAAAGAAAAAACACAAACAAAACACCAATATCTGGAATACCTTCATGTAGTCAAACCTAAGGGAAACAACAATACCATAAAATATAGATATTTGCCACTTATTAGTTCTGAGTGCATTTTTTCAATACAAAACAAGAAACAAAAACAAAAACAGTGAAAACAGAAGGAAAAACAAACCCAGAGATCACTCTGAGAGAACAATATACTAATAGTAAGCAATTTAGTATGGCCATTTGACAGCACACACAAACATTATATATATAAGAATATATAACATATCTCTTGTTTTGTGAAAAACCATTCCCCTGCATGTCTGAGGCTTGCAATAACATGCTATTATTGATGGATTGCCCTTCAAACCATATGATATTGATGAGAATTTGAGGGTTTTAAAGGTACAGATTGTTGGGTTTGTGGAGCCTAATTAGTACTGTAAGCTTCATCATGCGATCACAGATCCAATTAAGGGTATTACGGTAATTTATTAATGTAAATCCTAGCATATATATTGTTGTTTTCACAGCAGCCCCATCGTACTCCTTTTTTCTTTCAGTATAGTAGAACTGATACTGAACCACATAAATCTGTGTGTCATCTTTCCTTATTTGTGATTGTTTCTTCTCGCTATTGTTTGTGTGCATGTGTGATTTATTCCACAACATAGAATTGTTTTCTATATTTTAGAAATCATAAGTAGTGAACTTGGCTAGGTTTCTTCTTGCCATTGCCATCCATTCTTTACCTCAATTTCCATATCAACCATCTTCTTTTCTTCCAAATCTTGATCCATTGTGCTCTCGTTCAACTGAGGATTGATCAAACAGTTAACACGACTTTCTTCGTTGGTCGAGCCCATTAAACCACCACTTCCCTGCTGCTCACAGCTCAGTGCAGTATCATCGTCCTCCAAACCCAAAGGAAATTCCAAATCAAATGACCAGATGTTTGAAAGCTCTGCCGCCGTAGGGCAGCCAGAATAGCAACTGATCGCCTCCTCCTGCCTCCTCTTGTGCCCCGATGAAGCGGGACCTGCCTCGTACCCATCAATCCAATAACAGTTTTGGCAGAAGCAGATCTTTTCTTGAACACACCTTACAATTGCAGGCTGAGAATTGCATCTTTTGCAGATGAGAGTCCGCGAGTGGCGCCGCGAAATGGTATTGGCAGAGTGGACATTCCGGTCACACGAGAAACACAAGCACACATTGTCAGACTGACAATACACCATGGATCTTTGATCTCCGCAGAAATCACATTGTTGGCCCATTTTTCAACAACCTCTATAATATATAGTAATTCACTTCCACTTAGACGATTAGAGAACCTACATGGGTCCAATACAAGCCAAATTAACAGTTTGTAGTTCAAAAATGTTTTTTAGAATTGTTTTTGAAATCATTGTTCAACACACACGCACACACACACACACACATGTATATATGTGACAGGTTCTGGGTAGCAAAAAAGAGAGAAGAGTTCACTCCATGAAACAACCTAATAAAGCATACAGGATCTGGTTTTCATGTAAAAAAAAAAAAACCTTTGAGAACTTACAGTAGTCATTCAAACCATCAACAATCAAAATTGAGCTCCAACTCCAAAAAGAAAAGAAAGGAAAGGAAAAATTAGAGCTCCATATTTGATCAGAAGGAAATCCACCAACCTGAAGAGAAGATTTCACATACTCAAGCTTGCTAGGGAGATGCAAACTTTTTTGTTTTTGTTGTTGTTCCTGGCCTTTTGGGTTGTCCTTGGCTTTGCTCTTTGGTTAATTTTTTCTATTGGGAACGGCTTTGGTAGACTCCCATAAAAGGGTGCATATTGTATGTTTTATGTTTTTTTTTTTTTTTTTTTTTTTTTTTTTTTTTTTTTTTTTTTTTTTTTTTTTTGTAATTTTATCACATTGATTTGTAATAAATTCACAATAGTTCATACCGGGAAATTATTTAATGTTCTTAGAGCATTGCTCCTTTTCATTTACGAGTTAGACACATCATCAGTTGTCTCCTATAACTCTGACACAAAAGTGGTGGGTCCCATAGTTTAGATCAATAATTGTTACTTTGGAGCACCACCTAGCAATGCTCCAAGAATATTGAATAATTTCCTGTTCATAACCTTTTCATTTTAATTATTCGTAATTAAGACATTTTTCTTATGGTGCGTCTCTTTGTAGCATAATCACAAGGGTCATCATTCGGTAGTCTTCGAGTACCATGTGACATTGCTTACGTGTTGCTCTAAATCAATCGCATAGTGAAAATTTTTACCGGTAGAATCTGTGTTAAACAGTTAGAAGATAGAGAATTGTTCACTTATGTATTATAGGTTTTCATTTACTAAGAGTATCACATAGATAATATCATATAGTACTAGTGGAGTATCTAATAATTTTTCTAATCACAATAGTTTTGTAATTAATAGAGATAGTACATAATGATTTCTAGGCTTGTCCAACAAACTACTTTGGGAGAAAATATTCTCATGTGACTACAACAAAAATAAATTATGGGTCACAGTCTTCTTTACCCTCCCACACTCTTGGATCAATTGGCCAAAAAAAAGGGGAAGAAGAGAGGAAAAGAAGAGGAAGAAGAAAGAATGCGAGAGGCTATGGATTACTATAAACAAAAATAAGTATAGGGAATAATATGCACTTGGTAATGTAACTATTTACTAACTTTTTAACAATAGAAATTGGATAATGGGCCTTTACGTTGGGACAAAATAGTTTGATTTACCAAATGCAAGCTTTTTTTCCTTTTTTTTTTTAAACAATTTGGTAATTTAACACTTTTCTTTTTCCTTTTTTTTTTTGGGTGGTAATATAGATATTTAATTTTGTAGCTTTTTTACTACTTAATTCAATCTACTTTTTACTAAAATTAATATATATATTTTTAACTTTTTCATTTATTTTCAAAATATTATTGATCTTAATTCCAATATTAAACAGGAATACTTGTTAGTATTTGCCTTTAATATTAATGGGTTGAGCTTCAACTTGACAATCATGTTCGGACTCATTAAACTCACAACAAGTCTTGTTTTGATAATTTAAATTGTTAATTTTATATGGCTCTTTATGTATATTATTCATAAAAGAAAAAAATGGTTATTCAATAATCGTAATCTTTCATTTTATCGCGTTTGTTTTGGAAAAAATGAACGATAAGTATATTTTTAAAAATAGATCATTTTTTTTTTTACGACAAACATGATAAATAAAAATGTTACGATTATCGGATCAATTTTTTTTTTCCCTCCATAGATGATATGTATGAAGAGCTTTATAAAATAAACAGTTTGGATCATCGAAATAAAATCCGTAGTGAGCCTCATAAGCCTCATCATGATGGTTAAATTTATATTTTGAATTTGAGATAATTTTAGCCCTTAATTTTATATATCTATGAGCATTTTTTAAAATCAATATACCTAACAAAGTTTTAAAAATCTATTTTGAATTGTGCTTTCTATATATATATGTACTTTTAAAATCATTTCAAGGGCACATAATCTCAATCATAAAATTGGACAATATCTTTTCACATGAGAATTATATCCAATTCTATCATAAGATGTTATGAAAGAACTGATATTTATCAAACATGGAGATGGAGATAGGTCACAAACTCACAATAAAGTGCAAAACTGTACAACATGTGTGGTCATTTCATTTTCCTTACATGAACAAGTTAGGCCTTCACTTTTGTCAACTAACCCCTCCAAGATTTAGAGTTGGTAATGGGCTATTCGTGTTATCTTAGCATTATTATGATAGAAAATTATTTACGCAGTTTTTGAAATATTATATGATATTATTTATATAACATTTTTAATAAATAAAGAAATTACAAAATACATCAAATAGATCATCACATGTCTCTCTCTCTTTCAATTACAAAACAAAAATTAATCAGGATTTTGTGTCACTCATGAAAATGTTTACTATATTATTGATTGAAAACACTGCGTAAACGATATTAACGACTACATCATGCAAAATGTGTTTTAAAACCCTTCAAATTAGGCCCAAAAAAAAGGTGCTTCCATGTGGGCCTTATGGGCCCAAAACTTTTACCTCCCAATGGCTATAATCTATTTAGAAGTGGCATAGTAGAAGTGAAACTCCTGTAGAAGTAAAGTTGTTTGGTTGGTTTGAAAAAAAAATTTTGGAATTTTATTTTATAAAAATTTTGTTTGGTTGGTGAGAAAATAAATAACATGTTAAAAGGATAGTTGGGCTTAAATTTATATATAGCTTAAAAGACAGGCCGATGGTGACAACTAAGAAAGGAGTTTTTGTTTTCTTCCAATCCAAAAAATTCACATGCCTTGTGATAAAGACTCTGTTAAAGCCACAAGATTTTTTTTTTAAAAGTAAATTATAGTGTTTATTTTGGAACTTTTACTTTTTGATTTTTTACATTTTAGTTATAATAATTAAAATGTGAAATGCTAACTTCCTTACTGGACCGCGATTAATATTAATATATGTAAAAATATATATTAAAATATTTAAAAAGTGTATAAAAGTAAGAGTTTATCGGTGGGAAATCAATATTTATGGGGGATACAATATTAGGTCTAAGGATTAATTATTTTTAGAGATAAGCAAAGAATCTTAAACACTTACCATCAAAAAGAATTTTACGAACATTAAATTCTTTTTTAAAAAAACATGCAAAAAAATTTATTAGGAAAATAAACAGACAAATTTTTAAAAAATTACAAACTTAAGACTCTTAAAACACTTACAATAAAAAAGATTTGATATACACAAAGAAAAATAAACAGCGAAACAAATTTGATATAAACGAAGTAATATAATAATCAATTTTTTTCCCCAAGGAACTTCATAACATAATGGAAATTTGTATTTTCTTTTATTTTTTTAATGAAGATAATAAAAAGTATAATTAACATTAGTACACAAAAAATACAAAAATACAAACTCAAGACTCTTAGAACAGTTACAATTAAAGAGATTTAAATAAAAAATAAAATAAAATAAACAAAAACCCAAAAACCAAACAAAAAAACAAAAAAACTGTTTTTTGTATTAAAAAAATAAGAGCAATGAATTGTTTTTTTTAAAAAAAACAAACACACAAAAAGAGTTGAGTAAACAAACAAATCAATTTTTTAAAAAACAGAATTTAAACATAAAAAACAAACAAAAGTTTAAAAAAGTGAAATAGGAACAAAAAAAAACTTAATATAAATTTAAAAGAATTGAATATAAAAATACAAAAGCACACAAAATAGAAAAATACAAGCTCAAAACTATTCTAACACTTATAATCAAAGAGATTTAATATACAAAAAGAAAAATAATAGTAAAACCTATTAGTATAAAAAAAATAAATTAAAAAAACCAGAAAAAAACTTTCTTTTTTAAATTTTAAGAACACTTTTTTATAAAAATTAAAAAAACACACACACACACACCCCCAAAACAATGAAGAAAACAAACAATTAATTTTTTTTAAAATTACAAATCCAAAACTCTTATAACACTACACAGGGGCGGGGGGTCCTGCCCTGCTATTAATATTCATAATATAACTATAATTTTGAAGCTATTTCATTTAATTATGCTTGGCCCCTTCGAAATTTTCATATTTTTACTCATATGCTATATTCCTTGAAAGCCTTATGAGTTTTTGTTGTATTAGATACAAATTATTGTAATTATGCTATGAAGGGATATACCACCCAAAAAAATCTTAGTTACAATCCATTATAAATATTAATAACTAAAATCATAAACTTTTTCACTAATGTGTAATAAATTTTCAAAATCTATCCTAAGTAGTAGTTTCCCCAAAAATAATCTAGAGGATGCAACTATTAATCACAATCTTCAAATAATAATAATAATTCTAATCAACAATAATTAGATAATAAGAGCTTCTTGTGTTTAAAATCAATAATAATAAAATAATAATATTTTTTGAGATAATATTAAGTATAAAAACTTAAATATTTATTATAAATGTTTTTAGTATAAGCTCTTACAATTATCTCCAATTTTTTTATCTTATTTTATTTATTTATTTATTTTAATCTTAAAAAAAATGTGAATCCCTAATCAAAATTCTTAATTTTATCACAAATCAAAATACCTAATTTCAATAACAACAACAACAACACACACACACACACAAATATATATCATAAATTTCAGCACATCAAAGTTCCTAATTTTAGCACAAATCAAAATTTCTAATTTTACGGATAGCATAACGTTGAGACACATATGTCAGGTACGATGAATTAGCCACCTACTTGGATAATATCCTGAACATAGTAGTGTTTTGAAAAGTTGATAAAAAAATTTATTTTTGATTTTTTAACTTTTTTGATGGTTTTTTTTGACAAAAAAATTGATTTTTCAAAAAACTGACTGTTTTAGCTTCTTCCCAAAAGACCCCACAATACTCCACCAATTATGGCTTCTTGAAGTTGCCATGCTAGTATCACCTCATATGGCCTATTCCCAAAAATTAGAGATGAGCGGTGGATATATCGATTTGTCTAAACTGACCAAACCGAATTAATCCGCCGCATTTTGGACGGATGCGTGATGACGAGCGGACGGTTGCAGATTGATTTTTCTCAATCCGCCTAATTTTAGACGGATGGTGGATTTGAGATTCATTTGGTCGCAATCGAACTTTCAAACCGCAAGCACCCCTAGTAATTTGTAAGACTTTGTGTTTTCAATTTGTTTAGATATTCTGTTTGTGTTTTCAATTGAAAAGGAGTTTCCAATTGAAAAAGAGTTTTCAACTTGAATATATTTTTTGAATT